CCTCAGGGGAAATACTGCCCAACCACATGTGGAGTCGCTGATTACCTACAGAGATACAAGCCTGATATGGACAGAGAGCTGGATCAAATGGAACAGGATTTGGAGGATCTCGCCAACCTTACCAGAGGAGCGCAGGATAAAGTGGTCTACTTGAGAGACTCAGAAACACAAGCACAAAAACAAGCACCAGGTAACGCAATTTATCATTAATTATGGATTAAAAAAATACTTAAATGCAAAATGTACACAGAGGTTACAGTAGTCTCAGATGACCTCTCAGGTGCTTTTTGGAATAACGCAGATTTCTGTTATTTGAAAAAATAAAAATAAAATAGATAAGGACATCAAGTAAAAATATTTTTTCTTACGCTCATCATTGAATAGGCATATTCAGGCCTTTGTATGTCTGAACTGCATTTTTAAAGTAAATGTGAAACTTCACTTGATTTTCATAACCACCATCTTTTTGTCAGACACATACATCAAAAAATTGACAATACATGTGAATGTACATATTTTATTATTTATATATTTTTAAAATACAATTTTAAATGTTATATCTTATATTATTTTTTACACATGAGTTATAATTAATTCATAAATAAGATTACGGGAGTCAGACCACATGACATTTCATGACCTAAAATTATATTATATTTTAGGAGACTTACTGACATTGGCACAGTCATGAGGGTCTGAGGTGGTCCTCTCTGTTTTTTTATTTTTTTTTCTAAAAGTTGGTCGCACCACAGAACCATAGGAGAAAACCTTTTTCAAATATTAATAAAAAGTGAAAGGGATAATAAAGATTATACTTTTCAATATATTTTTTTATTATTTTAAAGGGGCTTCTTCATTATGATATCAGGACAGTTGTATCACTATGAACCTTTTGGCTAGAAGAGAACGGCACACTATTTTGACACACTATTTCGCTGTTTAATACTGTAAAGCTGCTTTGACACAATCTGCATTGTAAAAAGCGCTATATAAATAATGGTGACTTGACTCTTATGCCTCCCAAAACATATCAAAATGAATTTTAATATGGGAAGTAAAACATGCTCATCATTGAATAGGCATATTCAGGCCTTTGTATGTCTGAACTGCATTTTTAAAGTAAATGTGAAACTTCACTTGATTTTCATAACCACCATCTTTTTGTCAGACACATACATCAAAAAATCGACAAGCATGCTGGATGATATACTGCGATTTGAGAAGAGCATTCTCGCTCAGGAAGATCAAATATAGTGAGCATTTTTCTTCTTTTTTGTACCACTTATCTTAAATATGGTCATAATTGAATAAGTCATTATATAAATCTATAGTATTTTTTAAAGTATTATTTTTTAAATTCTCCCCTCCCCAGTCAACTGCAGTCAATCCTACAGGCTAATGAGAAAAGAATAACTGATTTAAAGCAGATGTCTGTCCAGCTGGACCAAATGTGCAAAGAGCCCTGCAAAGACACTGTGGAGATTCAAACAGTCACCGGCAAAGGTAAAACCAGCTAATTTAAACATCCTCATGACAACTGACACACTGAATGTTCTGTACATAAGATTAGAGGGCTGAAGTATATGTATATTTTCCTCAGATTGCCAGGATATTGCAAACAAAGGCGGTAAGGTCAGTGGGCTCTACTATGTGAAACCAGCCAGGGCTCCTGAGGCATTCCTGGTGTACTGTGAGATAGACAGCTTTGGACGTGGATGGACTGTACTTCAGAGGGTACGTGGCACAACAGAAAATGCTCAATGACACAATTTCCATATTTTCCATATTCCATCATTTCCATATTCCAACAGACAATGCACAATGACTATATATATATATATATATATATATATATATATATATAAGTAGGTATATATACTGCAATGCTTAAATGCACTTGTTAACATTTTTTAAGTTAGATAAAAATAAAAAAAATAGATTTTAGTCTTTCATTTATTTGAGTCCAGCTAATTAGAGCTGTTGAGGTAAACTTCACTCCCCTGGCATCAAGAAGCCACTGAAGACTGACTGTGATCTTTACAGATCCTTGTTAGCATGCCACGGAATGGCGCAAGTAGAACCAGTTGCAAAGGTGTGCAGCTTTACTGATCAAAATTCATTGTATGTTTTTCAGAGACGTGACGGCAGTGTTGACTTCAACAAAAAATGGATTCCGTATAAGGAAGGTTTTGGGTACCTCTCACCAGATGACAGAACAGAGTTCTGGCTGGGGAATGAGAAGATACATCTGCTGTCTGTTCAGTCCAGTGTGCCTTATGTACTGAGGATAGAGATGGTCGATTGGGATGGCAACAAAAAGTAATGAACCATGGAAAACTGATTTTCTTACTCTCACACATTTCTGCTTAATATTGTACAATTTTAGGTTTTAATTTCACAACCGGAGCTCACAAATCACCTATTTTTATGTTCACACACTACCAATCCTGTTCCAAGTGCAGCTCCTTAATCATATGCACCTGGACCAGCTAATTATGATCTTCAGCAATTAGACAGGTTTGTTGGAGCAGGGTTGGCATTGAAAACAAAGATAGATTTTCAGGAACATGACTGGGCACCCCTGTGGCAGACACTTTTATCCAAACTGACTTACGTTGGATTCAAGGTTATACATTTCATGAGTAGGCCTACGTGCACCATGCTCTACGGCTTGAGTTACAGGAATGCTTTTGGTGTCAAACCTGAGCAAGAATTATCCATGAATTCCCAAAGTTTTCCTTATCTGCAGTCACCAAACAGAACTTTGCTCTGCAACCAAAATTGATTCTTGCCAAGTCACATTGCATGACCTTTTCAGTCAGATCAAACATGCTGCTGAACATTTGGGCGCACAACAATCAATAGGAGTGTTTGTCTTAAATTTACCTTGTTAAACTTGTTTTCTTAGGTATGCTGACTACGCCAATTTCAAACTTGGACCAGAAGTTGATGCATACCGTTTGACGTATTCTTATTACTTTGGTGGAGATGCTGGTGATGCCTTTGATGGTCATGACTTTGGTGGTGATCCTAGTGACAAATTCTACACATCTCACAATGGCATGCAGTTCAGTACACCAGACAAAGACAACGACAAGTTCCATGAAAACTGTGCCTTGCAGGAAGGGACTGGCTGGTGGATGAACCGCTGCCATGCTGCTCATCTCAACGGAAAATACTACCAGGGTAAACCCTTCTGTCTTCACAAATCCATCAAAAGTCAATACTATACATGCAGAAGTGTCTTTGCTGATGTATTATTTCTGTCTTCACAGGTGGCAAGTACACAGAGAAGGACACACAGGGTGGATATGACAATGGCATTATCTGGGCCACATGGCACAGTCGCTGGTATTCTCTGAAGGAGACCACCATGAAGATAATTCCCATCAACAGAATCAGTACCGATGGTCAGCATAGTGGTGCCAAGCAGTTTGGAGGCCTGGGAGACATTTAAAGACCTCACCAAAGCTCCCCGCATTGTTCTGAGCTATCATTTTGTTATTGTGAAGCTAAAAGTACATGGGAATGACATGGGCAAGGCATTTTCAAGTGAGTGTAAAAATCTGTCTATTGGTTTCTGATATTTTCCATTCTGCACCTATTAATTCTGGAAAAGCTTTTTGCAAGTGATATTGGTCATTAAAAAAAAAAAATCAACTCATACTGCAACTGGTCTAACACATTGCACTGTCAATTAATTAATAAAAGTCTCTGTCTTTTGTAAATGAAAGGTATTCTGTAGTCCTCTTAATTATTGTGAGAACTGGCAATGGGACCTTCATTAAAAAAAACTGGGTAACACTTTATTTTAACATGTACTTGTTACACAGGTTACATTTAGAAATAACTATAGTAATAAATTATGCATAACTTCAAGTAGCTAACACTAAACCAAACCTTTACCCTAAACTTATAGTAAGTAAATTCATTAAATTCCCGTAAATTAATTAAATCCCAGTGCAGTGCTTATTTTTGTAAACACACTTGAACAAAGACACATTTTAAAAAAGGTGTCCAAAAAGGGCAAAAAATAAAAGTGCAAATTTGCTGGGGAAAAAGTAAATAAAACCATAAGAAAATTTATTATTTCTTCTGTTTCCTGCCTTTTATTTGCCTATTAGCACAATTCCTTACAATCTGATAGATCAAAGTAGTAAAATAGAAGTGAGAAACCTTATTTTGATAAAAGGTTATTATTAAGGATTTTTATTATGAAAATATATAAACATCCACTCCATTCAAAATGTGAGAGTGAGAGTGCATCAGTTTGTTATTCGTGGTTGTGTTAACCTCTGTGTAGGAGTTGTGGACCACATGGTCAGTAAGTCAATATTGCCCCACTATCATGATAGAAAACTGCCATGGGGGTGATCTGCACTCCACGTTCCCTGATGTAAGAGGATTTCATAATCTGTACTGTGGTGCATTAATCAATAAATACTAAGTCAGCAATTTCGACACAGGAAAGTGCCTTCTTGTTAGTATTGTATTTTTCCCCCATGTATTTATTCACATACAATATATTTAAATGAAAATGTGTGGACACTTTTTGTCATTGAGTTAAAGGAATATTTTACCCCAAAAATGAAAAGCTGAAAATGTATTCACATTCAGGCCATCCAAAATGTAGATGAGTTTGTTTCTTCATTGGAACAGATTTGGAGAAATGTAGCATTACATCACTTGCTCACCAATGGATGCTCTACAGGGAATGGGTGCCATTAGAAATGATAGTCCAAACAGCTGATAAAAACAAATCCATCATTAACACATTTGTACTTTAAACCTTTGCTAAAATATGGGTCTATCCATAATATTGCTTTCTCCAGTGAAAAAGTTGTCCCATCTGAATCAAGAGAAAAATCAGAAGCACAAACTCATTCTGATGGCACCCATTCAGTACAGAGGATCGAGTGGTGAGTAAGGGATGTAATGCTAAATTTCTTTAAATATGTTACCATAAAAAAACCTATATCTTGGATGGCCTGAGGGTAAATTCTCAGTACATTTAAATTTTTGGGTGAACTATTCCTCTAATAGCAATGAGTTTTTGTATATCATCTATTATGAGAGTGCATCAGTAGAGATGTACCTGTAGTTTGTGTCAGAAATATTGCTGTATTGGGAACTTTATCATCTGTTCATTTTTGCTCAGTAACATCATATTAGGGGTAATCTGTCAGGTCAATCAGTAAATTTAATTATTAGGGAAGATGTGAAATTGTGAATGATTATATCTATGCTTTTCTACATATCTCGTTCCAAAGCCATATCTTGCTGCACATTAATTCATTCAATTTTTGAGTGCCAGAATTTAAGATCAGAACATTTGTGAACATAGATTGACTCTCCTTCCATCCAGCTATCAATTTTCCAAACTGCTTGTCCTATTCAGGGTCACAGCATGGCAGCATGGAGCCAGTACTAGCCTTTTGGTCCATAGGTAGGGAAACACCTCCTGTTCAGGCAATAACGTGCCTGTTTAAAGTTTTGAGGATCCAATTATTAATTTTTAACCCAGCAAAGCCTGACATAACTCTACCAGTTTAGACACACCTTCTTATTCAATGTTTTATTTTTATTATTTTCAACCTGTATATTAATACTGAAGATATTCAAATTATGACAGACCAAATATGGAATTATGTACTCAACAAAAATGTGTTAAATAACCCAGAATGTTTTATATTTTCAATTCTTCAAAGTAGCCACCTTTTTCTTTGATGACAGTTTGCACACTCTTGGCATTCTCTCAGTCAGCCTCATGAGGATGTCACCTGGAATGATTTTCCAACAATCTCTGGTCCAACTCATTCCAAACCATCTCAACTGGATTTAGATCACGTGATTGTGGAGGCCAGGTCATCTGATGCAGCACTCCATCACTCTCTTTATAGAACAAATAGCTCTTACATAACCTAGAGATATGTTAGGGGTTATATGTCCTGTTGGAAAACAAATGATGGCCCCACTAAGTGCAAACCAGATGGGATGGCATGTTCCTGCAAAATGCTGTTGCAAGCCATGGTGGTTAAGTGTGGAAAAAACACATCAGTTTTATTCAAAGGCCCAAACTGAGCAAAAATATGCAATTTGGTACAGCTGCTGATATTTATGGTCAAAAGATATTATTAGTGGTGCTTAAAAAGTGCCCTTGATTAAGTTAAATGGCATCAGGTGTGCATGATAAGAATTCCTGGGACTGTGAACGGAAGGGAGGAGCTGAGGGACGGTAAGATATATAATGCTTAGTTTTATGATCAAAATACTGCAGTCTTCAGGGATGCAAACTCTGCATGAGTGAAAACGGTGACAAAGATGCAAAGCCTTTATTATTTGTCTTAAATTTGCAGTTGTGCAGTAAAATTCACTTTAAAAATTCACTTTTTATTCATGAAAAAAAATGTGCCAAATAATTGTCTCCTGGTGGAAAACAAAGACTTTTAAGATGAAAATGACATTAAATCACCATTATAACCAGTAGATGGCAGCAGAGGATTACTCATTAGCTTTGTTGCCATTTCCACTCCTTAGTGCTTTTGGATTTAGTATAAAATAACTAATATAACTATAGGGCCTTTCGCACCGCAGGAACCTTTTCATAGTACCAGAACTAATTGTGGAACTACCCACTTTTTGCCGTTTTCGCACCGCCGGAACTGGGAGCGATTTTAGTACCGGACTGCCTTTTTCGAGAACCAAATTAGTTCCTACTCCGGAGCAGGGTCGACCAGCACAACTGGTACTAATCGTGACGTAAGTAGACATTGATTGGCCAAACGCGTACGAAAACGCCCTCACCCGCCATGATTTAAAACGCCATGTAAACATACTGTAAACATTGTGTCAACTTATTGACAAGTATGGAGAACAGCGATAGATGGACGGACGCTGAAGTGCAGGCACTTGTAGCAAATGTAGCACTGCCAGTTGTCGTTTCTTAGATTCTTAGTCCTCCTTTCCGTTCTTTCAATCGCTTTACGTATACGTCGACATTCCATGTCCATTATTGTGAAACCCGCGAGACACAACAACAACAGCTCCGATCACAGCGTCCTCCATCCTCCTGTTGTTAACGTTGTTCTTTTTTGTTTCCATTGTTGAACGCCGTGCACAAATGACGTCGCTGTCGACCGGTTCCTAGTACACAGTCTGTCGGTGCGAATGCAACCCTTTAAATGGTACTGGGAAATAGTTCGCACAAAATCGTCCCAGTACTTTAGTACTGTACATTTAGTTCTGGAACTAAAGCGGTGCGAAAGGCCCTATTTTAGTTATTTTACTGTACTGAAGTATGAAGTAAAGCAAGTGCGGGAAGTCAAAGTATAATGTCATTTAAACTACAAATTCAGTTAATTATTAATGGTATAATAAATAATGCATTAAATATTTTGAAATATTTTTAGATTTAATTTAAAAACTTTTTAAACATTGTCTTAAAAAGGACATATCAAAAAGAGTGCTTTAAATTTGCTCTTTAACTGTAGAAGCTGTTAAAATATATTCAGCCAACACAGACTTCACTGTAAAAAGTAATGAGTTGAACTTACTAGGAAAACCTGTGGAAACTGATTGCCTCAAATTTCTCAAGCAAATTAGTTTATCATTTTTGAGTTAATAAAACTTACTGTAACTTTGTATAGGTAACTTGTGTAAGACAAGACAAAGACAAGACAAACTGAACAGTATGTCAGCTATACATTATATAATCTATTCTGAAATTTCTGCTTTGACATTTGAAAAGTGTAAAAAAACAAAAAAAAAACAACAACAGCATTTTGGTTCAATACTGACATATATATTCTCTTTTGATTTCTAAAGACTGACCAACGCCGGCTCCTGTGTCAGCAGCATCACACGTATGCGTTGTGGTACTCTCGTGAACGATGTCCTTACTTTCTTTCTGGGTCTTGAACGTGGTAGTTGTGTTGCTGTCTATGCAGAAAGCTCTTGGATTTCATCAGAAATATCTTAAATTGTGTTCCGAAAATTAACAAAGGTCTTATAGGTTTGGAACGACATGAGGGTGAGTAATTAATGACAGAATTTTCATTTTTGAGTGAACTAACCCTTTAAGTATTTTTTTCTCTTCTTTCCAACTCTGTTCTTTTATTATACATTCCCTTTCCTTTTTTCCTTAGAAGGTTTTTTTTTTCACTTTATTCCTTTCTATCTTATATTGTTTCGGTGTCCTGATTTTTTTCGTGCCATGTCTCAAGAATTGTCTGCATTACACTAAATAACCAAATATAACAGACAAAATTACTTACAAAACATATCTTGTAAAATCAGTAAGGTCCTTTTCAAGGAAGAGTGGAAGGCCGTGGAGAACTGCTGTTCATCACCCATTGATGTCAGATGTCTGTACAATTATTAAAAAAAACTTCCACTTCCACTGCATGAGTTTAAGTCCCCAAAAAAGAGCACATAGAATATTACAAGAAAATTGTGCTAATTAGAATAGAATTAATAGAATAATTAGTGCTGGGCATTGATGCACATTTAAAAACTATTTTAAATGAAGTTTCTACTCCAAATAATTTTCTGAAATATAAACATTTAAACAGTGGTTGTGATGATAACTTGTTTTCATGACATTTGTTCGAACATTAAATGCTGAAAAACGAATTACATAAGACATGATAAATTTCATTGTTGTACTGTATCGCTCAACATACTTTATGATCCTTACTCACGTTTATTTCATGTTATAACTAGCAGTAAAGAGGAAGATCGATGCTTGTAAGCCACTGGCTAGCTAGTACGCTAACTGACGGTTACAGTAAATCAGTTATGTTTACTCGCTTTTCTTAAGTAGATTCAGTGATTACTTTTTACAGTGTTCGTCCTGTCCTTCAGCCACAGGCGTCGTCCTGATCTACGGGACAGAAAGAGGAGGTGGCCAAGTCTCGCTGCAGCCGGACCACCCTCCAAGCTGCCTCTCTTAAGCTGCCAATCACCCCGTCCAGTTCCGGGTGCATGTCGGCGATGTGTTTGTTGCAAACTCTGGGCCCGTTCAAGCGCCCAAGCAGCGATCTGCTGTTATAATGGACATGTAACCCAGGTCACTAAAAAGTTAAAATAGAAGCTTGGAAAAATCTTGTGCTTCATATGTAGAATAGAAAGAATATCCTCAACTCTACTCAAAATGTTATACCAATAATAAGAGAGATTGATAAAAAAAATTATTTTATTTGATCCAAATTGAAACTAGTCAGAGTAATCTGAGATCGCTGATTGGATGAAGCTAGAGATTAATCCCGCCCCTAGAGATCGTGAGAGAAGATGTGAGAGAAATCAAATGAGTGCGTTTGCTTTACAGAGCTCAGATAATAAGAGATAAACATATAAATTGAGTGAGAAACTTTTGAAATTGGATTGTATTGAACAAGATTTTAGTCTTGATACGTAGAAAAAAAGGAAGATTTGCACAAAGAGAAGTGGAAGCAACGTGTTTAATAGAATCGCTTCATTTTTTCCCTTTTCTTTATATGGATTATTTATTCCTTGGCCGGGTTTTTTCTTTCTTCTCTCTTCCCTTTTCTTTCTGTGCATATGTGTGTGAGTGTTTCTTCTGCTGTCGATCCCGAGCTCCAGTGGTTGAGATTGTCGTCGAAGAATTGTCCTTGCCTGTTGCTGTGTGCATGTTGCTTGGACTGGCGAGCCATTCCCATCTGATTCGTACCTGGTGACATTATTTCAAGAGTGTGAAATATTGATTGGTAGGACAAACCTTTTTTTTTCCCTTAATCACTTTCGGGGTTTTTTTCCCCCCTTCTTACCGGACTGAACTAATTTTTCCCCCCTTCATTACGCATCTGCTGGTTTGAGAAACTGATTTTTCATGGACTAAAGGCACTGTACAATTTTTTTCACGTGACCCCTCTTCATTTTTTTTCCCTTTTCCTTGAATTTGAACTGAGACACTGAATTTGAACTGAGACATTGTCTTTATTGCTCATTTGATATTCCAATTGAATGAGACACGTACTGTTGTTTATATGGTGTTTCAGTTTTTTCCCCGTTTCATTTGAAGAGTTACTAAGAAAAAAATAAAAAAGGGGTACAAAAATACATAGTTTCTATGGTTAATACTTACATTTGAGTGGTTATTCCCTTCTTGCTCTTGCTGTGTATTTTTTTTCCTCCAGAGAGTCACACTTAGTCTTCTGTGACTGGTCCAAAATTAATTTAAATTGTGTCATAAATCTGACATTTTATAAGTGTGTGTTGCAGAATTAGAATCGGTGACATAGGTTACACAAAAATGGCGAGCCAGCCAGGAGGAAAACAAAAACATAGATATACACATTTTTAAACCACAAGTAAAATATTTAAGTGCAAGAGGAAAAAGGGAAAGTTTTACTTTACCTGAGTGGAATAGCCGAAATGAATATCGTGAGACAAGAGAATGTGAATGTTTCAAATGCTGTCCTCATTAGCGGCCTTACATTAGCCAAAGCGGACCAGCATGTAGAAGCATATTTGCTTCGATATGCTTCTATAAAACGAAACTTACTGATAGATGACCCTACCTCAAAATTCCACCGTAACGCCATAGTGGAATTTGCCCATAGTACTGCCATGCGCAATTTAGGGCCCTTACTTCCCTTGACATTTGTTTGCCCTACTGACCTGAGTGTTACTTTTCATATACACCCCTTAGACAGCATATGCCCCCAGGCTGACAGCAGTGAAGTTACCAAGGTGTACCTCGAAGAACTTCAAGCAATTGCCAGTGCAACCAGGAAGTAATTTCAAGATGTGCTTCAGGACGAATTGGCAAAGATTCACCAGGTTAGTGCCTCTGCAAAAGAACCGATCAAGCCACAGGGAGTGAGTCA